AACCACAGGGCTTCTTCTTTGCTCATTCATCACAGCTTCTGCAGCAAACAGTTCTTCAAAAAGTGAAAAAATAAATAAATTTGTATAATATGTTGTGTTTTTTTGTAATTCAGTCATTGTGAATAAGGAGCGAACAGGAAGGGAAGGAGAAACAAAGGAAACGCCCACTTACAAACCAAAAATAAAAAAATATTAAATGCAAAATGATTGAAACGTCCACACCTCAACCTTCATCCCACAGAAACCTCTCTGTCCTTGTCATTCCTCAGCAGTCACATCCAGCGTCCCTCCCCCACTACCTCACCACCCTTCCATCCATCCATCCATCCATCCATTCCAGCCGCTCAATGACACCCAAAGGTCACACTGTTCCTCCTTTTATTTGCTGAAAACCTTCAGCAGCCTCCATTTGTTTTCATAAAGGAGCTGATGAGGCTTTGATGGTGCATTAACAGACGGGATTGGGGTGGGGGTCGCTCCACCTCTGGTACAATGTGTGTCTGAATATATAAATGTGTGTGTGTGTGTGTGTGTGTGTGTGTGTGTGTGGGCAGGACCGTCCAGCTGCATGCTGCACATAATGAAAACTGACAACACACACAGTCAGGAGCAGGCTTTCCTTGAACAGCAGTTTGAAGTGAGTCTCTTGGGTGTTGTGAGGAGGCTCTCCGGCTGAGTAAATCCTTCATTTCTGTCTCTGTGAGGACCAGTTTGAGACGTTTTAATGGAGGACAGTTTGATCGCTTCTTCAAAGTTGATTTGAGGTTCAGGGTTTGTCCTTTCCAGGAGGCGAGACCAGCCTGAAGTACTTCAAAGTACTGCAAATGTCGGCGTGTGTGTAAAAATGGGGGCGCTGTGTCTTAGCTTTTTTATTTTTTATTTTTTACGGCCTCTGACCTTACAGTGACAAACTGTCTCCTCCTAACAAGTGATGCTGGAGATACAATTCTGAAGAAATGAGCTAAATTTGCTTCGTCTGAATTTTTTTTTCCAATGACAAACTGAAATTTATGGTTCTGAACTGATCGTTTCTCGCTCCGTTAATAAATTTATCATAGCCATCATAAAAAAATTAATTAAAAGTTGTTTAAAACAACAACATCCAAAAAAAAAAAAACAGTTCCTGGTGTGAGTTTAAAACAAATAATGAAATGCAGAACAATAAAATGACAGAGAAACACGGTTTATTAAGCATTTCCAACGTAAACCAAATGTGTCAACTTCTGACTGACATAATTTATGTGTTTGGTGTAAAAACCAGCCGCAGCTAAACGCATTAGTCAGTGTTTACGTCTGCAGCGCAGTGTTTTAACAGCCTGGGCCTGTTCAATGCAACTGCAACAAGACTTGACCCAAAAATATGGTTCAAAAGCAGAAAAGAGAAATGTTTTTATGACTAAATGAAACTGCCAGTCAAACATCAACTTCATAAGCCATACAACATTTTTCAGTCAGGTCTTTTGGACAGTTGCTTTTTTTTATTTTTGTGCTGAAACATTTCACCTTCTATCCAGAAGGCTTCATCAGTCAAGGAAACACAACAAAACAGATTTTTTCCCTCAAACAGCTTACTCCAAAGTGGAACCAACCAGTTATATTGGTGCTAAGATGGTTTCAGCACAAAAAAAAACAAAAAAAAGAAACAGACCTGACTGAAAAATGTTGGATTGTATACCTGGATTATTGAGCATGCACTTTGTTGTTCATAAGCCATATATATCATTAAAGCCCAATACTGTATTTAAATTCAAATTTGTGGCTTCTATGTATCATTAAATTATCCCACAGATTAAAAGTAGAAAATATAAATTGAAACCACCTCCATTTCTTGTTTTTGGAACATCTAATATGATCTAATTATTTAATCTTATTGTTCAAGATGAAATATGACAATATCCAGTATTAAGTAAACATT